GGTACCAAAAAACAAAAACAAAAACCCTTTCTATATATTATGCTGAAAATTTGCCTTGATAACTATTTTTTTATTAGAGTTATATTTAACACTTTTCATGGGAAAAGTGAAAGTGAGTATTAAGGAATTTTGGTACCTCAGTGATTTGTATTATTAATCCATTAATGTGTTTTAAGTTCACAGAGCAAACTAGGAGAAGGCATTTCCCATTATTGACTGCAGTGTGGATAGTAAATTGATGCCAGTACCAAGTTTCTCTAAACATGCTGTGCCAAAGCCAGTAAATTGTGTAAGTGCAAAAAGCATACCACAGATCAGAAATCAGATCTGTTCACCAAATTTCAAAGTCATGTTTACTGATTTTCTTTTTGCCTGAATATAAAGAAGCTATAATGGGTAGATTAGAGATCATTATCATATTATTAATTTAATGTCTTTATCATTGGCTCTTTTGCATGCTTTAACCTATTATAAATTTGGTTTTCTCTCTATCCAAAGGCTCTGTTTATAATAGTATTTTATGACAATGTTGTAAAGTTCAGTTATATCAATAAAAAACAAGTTTGGACAGTAAAAAAAAACAAATAACAAATAAATGTTTCAGTACTCATATCTTCATATTTCAACCACATTACTACCATATGTTACAGATTCTAGAAGTTTATACTTATATATGGTATGTATGGTACCAAAAAGAAAAAAAAAACTTGATCACACTAAAGACTTACTCTGAAACATCTCCTATTTCTACTTCTACTTCTATGTAGTGACAAGTACTATTTACATAAAAAATATACAAAGGCAAAAAACTTATAATATGAAATTAAATGGAAATACCAGGGTTCTCTACACTCACTATATTATGCATGAGATATAGAGCTTCTCAAATAAAAAATGCATATTGTATGTCTATTATTTTTTACTAGTATACCTATATCAACAGTCTACCATGCTGGACTATGAATACGAAGCTATCTCATAAATGAGCAAATGAAATAACATACATGAAATCTAGCACAATAATTGTTCCCCTGGTCTTTTCTTTTTTTTTCAGCACCAGGGATCAAACTCAGGACCTTGCGCTTGCTAGGCAGGCGCAGCGCCACTGAGCTACATCCCTCGGCCTAAATGGTCTTTATATGCACATTCACATTACACTTTCCTTATTTCAGTTCTCAATATATAGATCCATGCATTCAAAAAAGAACTTGGCTGTTAAGAAACAGTCCTAACAGCTATTTTTATGTTCATGATCACAGCAGCATTATTTTCAATATCCCAAAGGTAGAAGCAACAGATGAATAAACAAAGTGTGACATATACAACAGAATAGTATTCAGCCTTAAACAGAAAGGACATTTTGATACATGATATAACATGAACCTTAGGGCTGGGGATTTAGCTCAGTGGTTTCACTGCCCGCTGCGCAAGTGCAAGGACCCGAGTTCGAGCCCCGGTACCAAAAAACAAAAAATATGAACCTTGAAGACATTATGGTAGGTGAAATAAGTATGATTTTGTTAATATGAGGTGCCTATAGTAGTCAAATTCAGAGGTAAACGCCAGAATAGTCATTTTATCAAGGGTTGGGAAGACAGGAAATAATGAGGAGTTATTGTTTAATGAGGACAGAGTTTTAATTTGAAATGAAGAGTGCTGGAGATGAATAGTAGTGATAATTCAATGTACTCAAAACCATAGAAGTGTACAATTAAAACAGATTAAATTGTAAATTTTATGGTATATTTAACCACAAAAAAAGTTTTAATAAAAAAATAACATGCTGGGCATAGTGGCACATACCTATAATCCCAGCACTCTAGGTCACTGTGGCAGGAGGATCACAAAGTTTGAGGTCAGCCTGGGCAAACTAGAGACTTAGTAAGACCCAGTCTCAAAATTTTAAATAAAAAAGGACTGGGGATGTAGTTCAGTGCAAAGGCCCTAGGTTCAATCCCCAGTACCAAAATAAAATAGCACACTGGCTGGATATTGTGATGGATGCCTGTAATCCTAGCCCTCTGTGAAGCTGAGGCAGGAGGATCATAAGGTTGAGGCCAGGCTTGACCACACAGCAAGACTGAACAAAAAACCTTGTTAAAAAAAATAAACAGTAAATGAGATAGTAGTACAGATCTGTCACACTGGTTGTGTTTAGCAGCAAAGTGAAAAAGCAGAAAGCAGGTAGAGAGGTGTACAACTGGACTGGGCCCTAGTGGATAAAGGGACCAACAGATGTGAAGTTAAGAGCCTCCAGTAAGATTTTGCTTTTCTAGAAACACATTTTAATCCTGTTTATTCTCTCCAAATCACCTGTGTTTTTTGGTTTTGTTTTGTCTTTTTCCAGTGACATTGCATATTCCTTCTAACAGAGATTAGCTTACAGCCTTTCTGCCAATAACCTGCCCTAAAAAATAAGAAATAGATGTTCTAAGGCAGCGGTTCTCAATGGGGTAATTTTGACCACCTTCCAACTCCCAGGGACACTGGACAATGTCTAGAGATATTTTGGGGTTGTCACAACTGGGGAGTGGGTTTGGAAGGAGTGCTGCTGGCATATACTGGATCTAAGCCAAGAATGCAGCTACAGACTTGCAAGGCACAAGATCACCTTCCCCAACAAAGAGTTAACTAGCCCCAAATGCCAATGATGAGGTTGAGAAATTCTGTTTTAAGGTTTTACTAAGTTTCTTAATTTATGGCAGAAATTGATCCTGAGTAAAAATTTTACTTTTTATTTCTTCCTTTCTCTTTTCATGTATGTTAAGAAAATTAAGAATCAGTGGTAACACTTTCCTGCTCTTTACCCTAGCCAATCTTACCTATGATATTCTAGCAAAGTAGGGCAGGAGTTGTGGCCAAGGGCCTAAGGACAGAGGAGAAGGAAGTAAAATATCCAAGTGAAGCCAGTGGAAAGCAGTGCCTATGCTTTCTGGATTCAACAGTTCTTCCTGATGGCCAATGGATGTCTAAGAGTTGGATAGACATACTGATTTAGAGAACTCGATAAGGAGATATCTGTGTGTTTAAATAAGTTATAACCTAATTGACAAAGTAAATAATATAACTATTTATAAGTCAACATACTATTTATAAATAACATTATTTATGATTTTTTTTGGTACCTGGTATCAAACTTAGGACCTTGTGCTTGAGGCAGGCGTGGCACCACTGAGCTAAATCCCTGGCCCAATAATGTATTATTTATGATTACCTAAAACTTGTATATTTTCTGAGGAGCTACTGCTAATGAGTGCCTAATACTACTACATCAGTAATAAGAATAATACTTTTGCTTTTATTCTCCTTTTACATGATATTAAATAAGAACAGACCTGATGTAGAAGTATAACTCATTTAGTATAATCTAGATGTTTTTGAGAAATTCATTAACATTCTCAGGCCTATAGGCCATTAGGGTAATTCATTATTCAGTGCAGATTAAAATGGTACCTTCTGCCGGGGATTTAGCTCAGTGGTTCCGGCGGCTACTTTGCAAACGCAGGGTCCCAAGTTTGATTCCCTGTACCAAAAAAAAGGTACCTTTTTACACTTTGTACAATACATACCAAAACTGAAAATATATACAACCCATGACCCAGTAATTTAACAGAAATGTGTATATATACTCACCAAAATATGTGTAGTAGAAGAATGTTCTTCACCACACTATTCATAATAGCCCAGAAGTGGAAATTTCTCAAATGCTCATCAATGGAAGAATGGATAATTTTGGATATACATTTAAAAATGGATAAACAGAATGCTACAGTATACAGCAATAAGAATGAAAGAACTACAAATACACGCAACAGTATGGTAGGATCTTCCTTAGGTAGGCTAAATATTCAGGTTCTAATACACAGCATTTGTGAATGTTACTTTATATGGCAAAAGAGACTGCACATCTGATTTTTTTTTTTTTTGGTACTGGGGATCAAATTCAGGACCTTGCACTTGTGGCAGGCACGGCACCACTGAGCTAAATCCCCGGCCCTGAGACTGCACATCTGATTAAGGACCTTGAGATGGGAGGATTACTTTGGAATATCCAGAAGGGCTACAAATGAGGAGGCAAAAAAAAGATGTGACTATACAAGAGATGATGATGTAGCGACAAAAGCAGGCTTTTAACATGGAAGGACCCATAAGTCCAGAAATACAGGAAGGCATTAGAACCTGAAAAAAGCTGTCAAGACAGATTCTTTCCTTATGACCTTTAGAAGGAACCAACCCTGGAACACCTTGATTTTGGCCTAATGAAACTGATTTTGGACTTCCGATCTCTAGCACTGTAAGAGAATAAATTTGTTAAGTCACTAAGTTTGGCTATTTATTACAGAGGCAATAGTCACAAAAATAGTAAGTGAAAAAGTCTAATGTATATGGTTACATTTACATAGAATGAAAAGTAAGCAGATTTTATCCATAGTTTTAAAAGTCAGGATAGTAGTTACTTCTAGATAAAGTGATAGTGTTAAGATAGGGACAAGTGGGATCATAATGCTCTTGTTTTCTCTAAATACTGGTGATGAGCATGTTCAGTTTGTGCAAACCCTTATTTGTACACTCTTCTGTAACCATGGTATATGCAATTTTAAAAGTTGGTATCTTTTCAAAACTTATCAAACTTAGAATCTGGTGAAAAGATATGTATACAAGAAAGTGGGAGAGATCCTTTACAAAACAATACCTATTTCTCAAAAACTCCAAAGCTTTTGTTTCTCCAAAAGACTAAAATGTTCAATGACTGGGAATATATCATAGGGACTACTTCTAAATGCTAAAATTAAAATACTTCATTAGCTTTGTTATGCCTTGATCCTAAGCCTTTAAATTTCAAAAACACAAGAAAAACCACATTTTCTCAAATAACATTAAACTAAGGAGAAAGGTAGATACTACAAGCCAAATAACCAAAATGTTCTTTGGGTCTAACATCTTGAAATAGTAAGGATGGTGAAAGAAATATCTCTATGGATCATTAAACATAAAAACAATTTATAAAACACATCAGAATTTTATTGCTTGAAGAATACAGCATATGAAATCACAAGAATGTCAAAATGAAAAGTCACTAGGCTTCAAACATATAATACATTATCAGATGCAGCAAAATATTAACCTGAACTCTGCATCAGAAATAAAAAGGTATGGAAAAATACCTAAGTTATTTCCTTGAGAAATAGATACACATAAAATAGAAGTATAAGGATGTTACAGTACAAATTAGTAAAGCCAACACTTATTATTTCTCTAGACTAGACTACCTTTGGTACTTAAACTTTTAAAACACAATTCTTTTCATTCTGTCCAAATACACTTCATGGGTAAAATATCCATGAAGTAACTTCAACTTAAAACATTCATCAAAATTACTAACCTTCTCGTTATGTGGGTGAAGTATATTTGATAAATATATAACACTATTTCCCTTTTTTAAAACTGCAAAATATAATCATTAACAAACCTAATACTTATAAACTTTACTTACTTAGCTCGCTCTTCAATTAAAATTGGAATCCTTGCAACTATGATCTATTTTGGGGCTTGGTGAATATAGAAATTGAAAGGATTTGGCAATTGACTAGGAATTTAATTACTTCATATTATCTTAATTGGCTTTTATTGTCTGTTCCCAAAATACAAACTATATGCAATTTCTCCATACACTAGATTCCTGTAACAATCACTACTGTACTTTATTTATTGGAACCAAATTAAAGCTTTTCCCTTTTAAAAAGCAGGTTGAAACTATTTGTTTCATATAGGGGTGTAGATTATGACACACTTTCCTAAACAAAACCAAACCTTTTTTTTTAAAGCTATCATTCAATTATGATGGAGACAATGATGCCATTTCTAAAGGTAGCAGTAGACTCTAGGCCATCTAGTCAAGAAAATGTAAATTAATGCTAAAAGCAAACAAGTAAACTACAGCTACAAGTTAAATTTGAAAAAAAAAAGGGGGGGCCCTTTTTCATAGCAAGCATGCTCATTGCCTTTCTTTTCCCTAGTAAAGGTCTGAATATTTATAAACCTCAGTTAAATCAATGGAACCCAAGCAACTGTTCAACAAGTCCCAACTATATATTTGAATAATATAAACATGGATGGACTAAGCAAGTAGTACTATTGACAGTTATTGAACTGGAGTGAAATAGAATCACAACAGTCCTCAAAATTGGGCAGTCTTTGAAATGTAATAGCATAGCTCAAGATAAATTATGTTGTAATAAAACTAGTTTTTACCTCTACACAAAACAAAATAAAAAAATAACTCACCAAATTTATACAACTATTACTGAGCACACTCTTTCCTAGTTTTTCAATGTCTTATTTTGAAATTTCTCTAAACAAGTATATGTATCTGAGTATATATATATTTATTGCCTGTATATATACTCTTTCTAAAAGACAAAAAAATTCAGATACTATAGAACTGAACTCTTTAACCAACCTGATCCAATGTATTCTGCCTCATACCACACCACACCTCAATTTAAAATTCCCAATTTTAGTTTAGTTAAAAGGGCAGAGGAACTGTAAATGCACATTAAGAGCTTTTGTATAAATTTCACTGTATTTTTATAAACTTGAAGTTTTTCTGTAACACTGTTTATTGATCAAATAAAGGCCTCACTGCTATCTAAAATTTCATAAACACCATTAAAAATTCAAAATTGATATTATACTGAACCTTAAATTTTCAATAGTTCAAAGAGACAGTTTTTACATGTATAGCACACAATAGATGAAACTTAACAGCAGACATCCCTAGAATACCAATGGTAAGTCCACCAAGATGCATACAAAATTACAGATAAGCATTTCCATCACTGTTTTGTTGTGCAAGAAGAAACATCTATAGAGAAAACAGAAACTCAACTGGTGAATTTCAGATATCATCATCATCTTCTTCATCTTGAGAAGATCCTGCCTGATTAGTTGCACTAGCTGAGGCAGCAGCAAGCTGGGCTTGTTGGGCAGCTTGCTGCATTTGAAGCCATTCCTGTTGGGCCAATTCTGCTTGTTGTTGTCTAGCCTAAACATCAAAAACATAAAAGCAAATAATACTTTTTTAAGTACATATATACTTTGTTTAAATGTAAATTAATCCAAATAACAGACTTAGTCATTATTAAACCTGGGTATTTTCCAACTAGTATATAATTGTGGCATATCTGGAAAACAAGAATTCTATGGCCTTTTGTTCAAATGATGAAGTTGAAAAGGTTTTGTTTTGTTTTATTTTGTGTTTTTGAGACAGGGTCTCACTATGTAGTTTAGGCTGGACTTGAACTATGTTGTGCCCAGGTTGGTCTCAAACTCTAGGTAATCTTCCTGCCTTGGCTTGAGATTATAGTTGTGAGCCACCATGCCCAGTTAAGCAATTGAAAATGTTAGAAGAGTAAAATTACAATAATAATTCTCTTTGGCTCCTTCTCATTTTTCTTCTTTCCATTCATTTCACTTAATTCTTCTGCCTCCTCAAATTATAGTGAAAATGTTTTCCAAATGTACAACATACTTTCTCATCTTTATTACCTTTACTACTGCTGATATTCATTCTGTTTGAAATTTCCTGATTTTTACCTAGTGAAATTTCACTCTTTCCAAGCTGAACTGAAATACTATCTTTTCCTTCCTGTATTAGTAAAGGAATAATCAGGAGACTGAAATCATACCACTTAGGAACAGAAAGAATTTAATATAAAGGTTAACAAAGTGTAAAGTTGGTAATAGGCAACTGAAAAAACAGGAAGAGAACACTAAGATATCATAGAGGTGGTTAACAGCAGGGAGCAGTCATCAACCTTAAAATAAGATGATCAAAAGACAAGGCTGGAATCTTTAAAACTTAAATGTAAAGTAACAACCACATAGAACTGAAACTCAGACCTCTGAAGAAAGAGCATAAATTACTTGGTACTGATATATCTAAGCTTGGAGCAGGACCCAAGATTTGGGATCCATACCCCTGAAGAGGAAGGTGCAGGTTCAGGCTGATTCTGTAAGTATCAAAGAAAATGGAAACTGGATTTAGTTCCTCACAAGACAAACTGGGGCCACCAGGGTAAAGAAGTGCTTCTGGATTTGCTCAAAGGAAATGGAAGCCAAGAGGAAGTAAAAGGAGCAAGCCCCATTTATTTTCCCTAGCCTCCCAATTTCTCTCTGAAACCCCATGATTAGATCAGGGTCTAATGAGTCAGCTAGTAGAGGTGATTTGCAGTACAAACCACCCCATATTGCTAAGTAGCCCTTCCCCATGTGCAACTTCACTTTCTGAAGTTTTAGTTACTCACAGTCAATCAAAATAGTAAATAGAAAATTACAGAATTAACTCATAAGTTTTAAATTGTGTGCCACTTCCAGCAGCGTGACAAAAGCTCACATTGCCTATGTTATATATGCTACCTATTACTCACTGAATAGCTATCTTGGTTATCAGATCAACAGACATGGTACTACAGTTCTTGTGCGTAGGCTTTGGATGGTTCAGACATCCACTGGGGATCTCCTGGAAGATTGTGTGTGCGGTGGCAGTGGGGTAATGTATGAAGTCCAGTCACAAAGCAGAGCAAAGAAAGGTGAATTTTGGGTTAAGACAATGGTCAGTAGCTGAAATACTTTTATTACCCCAAAATATTATGTGACATCTCTGTACATGTGATTTCCTTCTCATCAAAGTTAGCCTCATATTAGTTATCTTCTTCATCATTCAACCAATGTTACAGCTATTAATATATCTATTATACCTGTCCTGTGAGACACTAAGTTTCTTAAGAACAAGAATGATATAGTACTTTTCATCTTTGTACATCTGTAGCACCATACATAATATCTTATAGAGGGAACTCACATATGAATTGAATTTTTACTTTAAAAATATTGAGGGCAGGAACTGGGTGACTTTAGTGAAGATGACAATAATGAAGCAGAAGATGAAAATAAATATAACTGCCTTGAGGAAGACTATCCAGGCAAAGATAGTATTACTCAGAGGCTAATAAAGGAAGAGGTCTGTGTTATTTTTTAAAAATATCAAAAAGAGGGCTGAGGATTTAGCTCAGTGGTTTCACCGCCTGCTGCACAAGCACAAGGACCAGAGTTCAATCCCCTGTATAAAAAAAAAAAATTATCAAAAAGACTCAGGGAAAGGGGCCAGGAATTTTACTCAGTGGTTCTGCCGCCTGCCTCACAAGCACAAGGTCCTGAGTTTGATCCCTGGCACCAAAAAAAAAAAAAAGAGCTAGAGATTTAGCTCAGTGGTTCTGGCGCCTACCTCACAAGTGCAAGGTCCCAAGTTCTGATCCCTGGCACCAAAAAAAAAAAAAGAGCTAGAGATTTAGCTCAGTGGTTCTGGCGCCTACCTCACAAGTGCAAGGTCCCAAGTTCAATCCCTGGTACAAAAAAAATCAAAAAGAAAAATGGAAGCTGAAGAAAAGTCTGAATTTGAAGATTAGATGTCTCTGTGGTAGGACAGAGGTCAAACCATAAGGAATAAGTACCATAAATTTTAAAAGATGTTACATGGTCATTACAACAAAAGATGGAAGAGACACTCATACATGGTTATAGGCAGAGGAGGAAGTGATTCCGGAAAAGACTAAAGGTATTAGAAAAAACATGACTAAGAGAAATTTTTTTTTTTTGCAACGAACCAAAACATCCTTTAGCTTTAAAAATTAGAAAGTAGGTATTCTAACAACCGTTTTCACCTATCTTTATGAAGAAAAAGGGACACAATTCTAACACACAGGGATATTTACTTCTATGTCAGCGATATCAAAAGAGCTCAAAGAGACTGAGTGCTTCATTAAAAAGTTCAAATGTCAGGGTAAATCAAATATTAGAATTTAATCAACTTAATACCAACTCCATATAATTCTGTGACAAAAAATTCAAGTAATTTCAAGTTTCTACAAATGTCCTTCATCTTATAGTTTATCATCAATGGTCTGCAGAGGCATGCAAATTTAGGTGCATCCAAATTTAATTGACTTTTAAATGCTAAGGCCTCATATCAGCTCTTATGAGATGTGATAAAAAATATGGTGAAAAAAATTTTTAAAAATTATTATAGTAAAAGACACATTGCCATAAATCCTCAAAATACTCTCCTTTATTTTGAACAAGCATATTTGAAAATATTTTTTCTCATCATTCTTGTCACTTTCTGAAGCAGTTTTGAAAGTCCTTTTGTCTTTAGCTGAACTGTTGTAGCTGTCTTGGATCAATTCAAAACATTTACTTTTCATGGTTATTTTGACTTTAGGGAAGAGCTGGAAGTCACATGGTGCCAGATTCAGTTAATAAGATACAGTAAATGAGGACATACCATACTTGAGCCTGTCTTTCCATTGGATGACACTCAGAAGCTACATTCACCATATTTTTGATCATACCTCATGAATACACTAATGACAACTTCTAGAATTGCTTCAGGAAATGGCAAAAATAATGGGATAAGCAAGCAAGGGACAGTGTTTTGAGGGGGGTGAATGGTAATATGTGTTTTACTACATTTTAACAATTTAAACATGCACTGTATTTTTTGATCAACCCTTGCATACTTTTCTCTCTGAACATAAAAGTATTCTTGTCCCTTTAAAAAATCACTGCTGAGTTAGCTCAGTGGTTCCGCCACCTGCCTCGAAACCACAAGGTCCCAAGTTCGATCCCTGATACCAAAAAAAAAAAAAAAAAATCACTGCTGAGCTGGGTGAGGTGGCATATGCCTGTAATCCTAACACTTGGGAGGCTGAGGTAAGAGGATGGAGTTCAGTTCAAGGTCAGTGGGGCTACATAGTGAGTTCAAGGCCAGCACAGTGAGACCCTGTCTCCAAAGTGAAACAAAACAAAATCCTAAAATAAAATAACTAAAAATCATTGTTGACTAATACAATTTGTATTCATTTCTACAAATTAATAATTTCAGTGGTATTTAATTTCATTTTTCCTTCTTGTCTTCTAACCCAACCCAACCCAAGCATTTTTCTTCTAAAATGAGAGGGAGCCAGACATGGTGGTACACACCTGTAATCCCAGCCAGTACTTGGGAGACTGAGGCAGGAGGATCACTGCAAGTTCATGGCCAACCTGGGCTACATAGTAAGTACAAGGCCAGCCTGAACTACATAGCTAGACTCTATCAAAAAGCCAACCAAACACACAAACAAATAGATAAATGAATGAATGAACGAAAGGGGTGATATAGAGATAAGTAAGCATATACCTCCTAATTTACTACTTCTTTTGGAAATTTTCATTATTTAAAAAAATTTTTATTGGCATATGTTTGCAATACATAATGATTACATTCATTGTGGGGAGTTGGTACATGTCCATAGCACTTCCTAATTCTTTTTCAATGTTTTAAAGTTCTTACTCCAGCACACTAAAATGATTCATTTATAATCTACAGTTAACTTTAATCTTGATGTATTAAAGGCTCCCCCTTCAAAATATCTGCTCCTAGCTTTGAAGTGAGGCTATCATTATTTGTATTTGAAATAAAATCTAAAAATGAAACAAAATGAAGAGATTTAAAAACAAGATACTGGGCTGGGGATTTAGCTCAGTGGTTCTATCGCCTGCCTCGCAAGCTCAAGGACCCGAGTTCGATCCCTGGTACCAAAAAAAAAAAAAAAAGAAAGTAAAAACAAGATATTTACTGGTTCCTTTTGTATTAACATCTTAAATATTTTATGCTCTTAGGAAGAAGTCCAAGGCAGCTGCTATAATTTTACTTCTTTGCTGATCCTCCTCACAAAAGAAAATACTAGGGATCTTCACCCATAGGCCAGGATAAACAAGAAAGGAGATAGGAAAAAGAATTTTTAAAATCCAGACGGTAAAGAGAGGTGAAGGCAGATATGGCAGGTGGTACATTATTTCTTTAATGTCTTTTTGTCCTATTTTTTAAAATTCCATGATAAATTTAAGCAGAAAGCAGGGGGAACAGCATTAGCGTATGTAGTACATACTACAGAAAGAATACAGATTTTGGATTAAAAAGACATAACTTTAAATAGAGACTCCAACATTTCCTAAACTGTCTAACCTTACCTATTTTACGTAAGTCAATTTTTCCCAGTAGATTATATCCTATAATGATTGAAACCATGTCCCCTGCTCTTTTGTGTGTGTGATTATGTGTGTGTGTATATACCAGGAACCAAACCCAAAGCCTCACATGTATTGGGCAAGTACTCTACCACTGAACCACACCTTTTTAAAATTTTTATTTTGAGGCAGGGTCTCGTAAAGTTAACTAGGCTCACCTTAAACTTGAGATCCTCTTGCCTCACCCTTGCCAACAGCGAAATTACAGGTGTGCACCATCATACCTGGCACCATGCCTCTTTTATTTTTTGTAATAAGCCTAGCATCTTGCACAATGTCTGATAAATAGTGAGGACTTCAATAAATATCTACAACAAATGAATTATTTCACACAAGTTTCTTCACCTGAATCTGTTTCTTAATATGTAAATTGACATAATAAAATATGTACTATTTAATAAAAATTTTGCAAGGTATATAAAATATCTACTAGAATATTTTCTATCATCATATACAGTGGGACCTCAGTTCACAAACTTGATTTTTTTCCCCCATGATTCTGGCTACAAATCAAGTTGGAGAACTGAATCAAATTCAATGGTGAGGTTTAATATTGACCTTAAGGGGAAATTTGATTCGTTTGTCATCCAGTTTGGTTTGCAAACAGAATTGTGGAGAGAACTGAGTCTGTAAACCAAGGTACCACTGTATTTAATTTGCCACCCTACAGGTAATCTGCAATAGCAAAGAATTAACAAATAATCACCATTTATGTTTTTAAAAAATATCACTCATTCTTTGGTATCTCATATGTATTATAATGCAGAATATAATATTGTTTGCATGTGTTCATGAAGGTCATAAAGGCTTTTTCTATCTCATGGGTTCTTAGGAGGATTAAATGAACTAATAATACAGGTAAGTTACTTGGCAATGTAATTAAGACAGTCAGAACTCAATAAATATTGGTGAGGTGTATTTTTCTAATTATTTTAAATGGTACCTTGTGTCAAGTGCCTATTAAGACCCAAATGCTAACTACAGTAACTGTTATAATTGCAGGGAAATCATCTATAATGCTAATTTGGAAGTTTGTCTTAGTTCTTTTGTCTACTCTAGTAGCTGGGGGAAAAATTCACTCCTGTTCAACCTAAAACTTTCAAATGAGACTAAAACTCAGCAGAAAAAAACCAGCCTTGACACCTCCTATCCTTACTTTCCCAAAACAGGATATCACTATTTGGTGCTAATCCCTCATAGACAAGGTCCATGATAGTGAACTTTTTAGAGTTTTCAATAATACAAAGAGCCCAATGCGGCACCCGTGATAATAGTTCATCACCACTGGACTAGGTGTTAGAAATGTAACAAGTAAGAAAGAAGGGGGCCAGGGATTTAGCTCAGTGGTGTCACTCCCGCCTTGCAAGTGCAAGGTCCTCAGTTCGGTCCCTGATAACAGTAAGGAAGGAAGGGAGGGAGGGAGGATTAAGAAAGCAGAAAAATTTTTTCCCTTTCTTTGCTCTATTGGCCCTTTAAAAATTGGAATATTTTGAAGATATGTAAAAGATTCAATTTAACTACAAAATAGATATTAATCAGATTTTCCTTGTGTGCTACTCATTATAAACTCCAATACAGAATTTTCTTATTAGCCCATCACTTTAAATCTTAAGGATATTTAGGTCTTCTTTTTTGTTTTGTTTTGTTTTTTATTCATTAAGCTTATTGATACATTTTAGGTAAACATTATGATAACATTCATCATTGGGAATTCATACCTGTATATGATGTATCTTGGTTCTTGTTTTTTCCCCATTCCCCTTCCCTCCCTTCCACCCCTCCCTATTTACAAAAAACTTTGTTTCCATTTTTTCCTTTTCTCATATTTTTTTCTTTCCCTTCTTGCCTTTCCCCTACCCTCTCTCCCTATTTCCCCTTCACCTTTGGACCTTTTCTTCCTATTTCACATTATATATTATACATTTTGGTCTTCATTTACACTTTCATTTTCTCACACCAGACAAACTATTTGGTATTTACACATGAGTCCTATTTATTTCACTTAAGAGTATGAACTCAATGTGCATCTATTCAGCTATAAATGTCTCTGGCTTCTCATTCTTTATGGCTGAGTAGTACTCCACTTTACAAAAAAACACATCTTCTTTATCCTCATTTGTTCAGTCATTTGTGGTACTGGAGATTGAACCCAGAGCCTTCACATTGAGTTACATCCTCAGCCTCTTTTTCATTTTGAGACAGGGTCTTGCTAAGTTGCCCAGGCTGGACAGGATCCTCCTGCTTCAGCCTCCCAGAGTGCTGGGATTGCAAGCATGCACCACCATGTTTCATGCTATTAGGTTGTCATTCTGTCTGAAAAAACATCAAAGTAAAATCTCAGTAGTTTTTTGGAGTTGCTTACTTTAGAAAAAAGGTTGCTGCAGATATTTACTTTTTTACATATACCAGAGTCAAACTTGCCAGCTTTAAATATCAGACTCTATAATCAAATAATAAGCCAGAGAAAAGAATTCTTTGGGTATATTATGTTGAAATTTAGGACATAATTTTAGATAACTGTATGATTTCTATTAGCAAACAGGATGAGGATTTAAATGAAAATAATTTAAAATGTATGACTTACTTTTGCAAATAATTCCTGTTGCTGTCTCAATAACTCTTCTTCAGGAATGCCAAGGTTTTCCAAACGAGAACTGGCCTTTCTTCTTTTTAACGCTACCGTCTTGCATTCTTGTAAGACTTCTTTTACTTCGCTGATATAAGAGCCAAAGCCCAAGCTTTCTAGTGCTAGAGAAATGAAAACATGAAAGGGTAAGAAAATATAGATTTTCCCTCAGCTATGGAACATGAAGGTTTTGTGTGTTTTTTTTTACCTGGGAGGAAAGGGGTGGTGTTTTCTAATAACTTTACCTATTTTACAGTTGTACAACAACTGCCTGAGGCAAAATATTCTTTTTTCTGGGGATCGAACTGGGGACCTTGCGCTTGCAAGGCAGGTGGCAGCACCACTGAGTTAAATCCCTGGCCTCTCAGCTTTCTTAGTGTAAGACTGCAGATTAGTTAAAACTTATAGAACATTTCAAAGCAAAGCCTTCACTTTTCATTCTAATTTTTACAAGATCAAAGAACTTCCTGTGAGGGAGAAAGATCCAATTTAACAACATGGTTTTAGTAAAAACATTATTGTTTTCTCTAGCACTCATAATAAGTCAAACATCAAGTCAGTCATTTTCTTAAAGAATAAAAAAATAAATATTTGGAATATATTTGTTAACAATATTTTGTGCCACTTGGCTTAGAAAAAGTGGGCCTATAACACATGCTCCAAAACATTCTGTTTCAGAATGACAAGATGAAAGAACAGATATATTTTTCTTTTGTCCAATATACAACAGGAAGCTATTTGTAGCATAAGAAACTCAAAACACTCGTGTAATCAGAAAAGACAAGCCATAAAATTTTCTTTTCATTCATAGTATTCAATATTATATTTTATGGTTTTCTATATGTTGCCGCATACCTTATAATTTGAGCCAATGATAAAATTTAGATGATAAAAACTTAAGAGTAAATCAATATAGCTCATGAGTTCTTGTAGTCTTTCAACAATTGTAATGAACCAGACTGCCCTCCAAAAAGATGCTCTCAAATTCTAACTGTAGAAATTTGCTCTCCAAGGAAAACACTAAATGTGCCTTTAGAAATCCATTCTCTCATATAAATATGATTTTTAAGACACTGAATGATTCACAACTTTATTTCACATGTTATGCTGTTTTTAATCAACCTTCTGAAGGTATAATCTGATCCAAAAGCAGATTACTGTTTATTAATGTGAATTTTAATTAATTTATCCTTCCCATAACACTTCCTACCTGAAAGCCTCAGAAAGGTATTATTCTGAATTCTGTATGTCACATTCACCACCACATAATTCTTGACTTCAAGGAGCTTGGGACACAGTGGGAAAAATAATTGACTAGGCAGCCTGCATTTTTCACTTAAACTGACATTTTTTTTTAATGTGTCAATTATAAAAGCCAAAGCTTTTATGTTTTCTTTTTTTTTTCTGAGATAAGGTCTCACTATGTAGTTCAGATTGGCCTTGAACTCACTATGTATGTAGCCCAGGCTGTCCTCAAACTCGAAGTGATCCTCCTGCCTCAGCCTCCCAAGTGCTGGGATTACAGGTATGCGCCACCATGGTTGGCTTATCTTTTCTCTTTTTGAGGAGACAAACATAATAGAGTATTTGGAGACAATAACAAAGGAAATCAAGTGAGAGCTTATGGTTTCCCACCATATTCTAAACAAAGTCTGATTTCCTTAGTCCTACACTAAGGTCTAGGATCTAACTCCCTGCCTCCTACCTGCCCTGTATCCTAGCAGTTTTATTTCTGCCATTAAATCTCTGCATACTTCTGCTATATTTGACAGCTGGCTCAGTGTTTCCCAATGTAAACCACAGCTTCCCACATTCATGGTGATGGCAATGTATTCAAAGAATGGATTAAATTTCATCTTCAAATTAAACTTGTTCAACCCTTCCAGACATATTCTCCCACTTTCGAAATGAAATAGACCTAGAACTGAAACTGAGCTGGCACTATTTGTACAATTTGGGATATGTTGGGGCCGGGGATTTAGCACAGTGGTTCCAGCGCCTGCCTCGCAAGCGCAAAGTCCTGGGTTCAATGCCTGATCCCCCCCCCCCGCCGCAAAATTGGGATATGTTGCTTAATATTGCTTAAGCTTTAGTTTTTCAATGTACAGCTTAAGAATAGCATCTATTTCATATCTTGCTGCAATCTGAGGAGATGTAGTGGGTAAGCAGGTTGGCCACAGGTCCAAATTGCTATGAATTGACTCCCAAGTCTACCTCATATTAGTCCTGTGACCCTTAATTCCTCCAGTTCTGGGTTCAATTTACTCACCTCTAAAAAAGAATAAAACAGTATCTACCTCTCACTAGATCAGGGTGTTGAGAAGAATAAATGAATATAAATAACTTAGAACAAAGGCTGGCCCCAAACAAAATTAAATATATACTGTTACAATGTTAGGGCTGTAGGAACCAATAATTAATACAGGCTTTTAACAGTGTCTAGCATCTAAGAATCAGTCAACTTGGAATATGTTTCTCATCTTTATTTTTTCTCTTAAATTTAAAAAAGTAGCCTATTAAGTGTGTAAAACCTAAACAACTATACTTCATGACATTAAATTTAAATTGAAGTATATTAATACAGGGGCCAAGAATTTTTTCTTTGTCTTACAGGATTAAACATTACAATAGCTACAAACTACTGAAACAAAGCTGAAAATCACTGGCTTATGCCCACCAAATGAGAGAGAAAGAGAAGGAAAGAGAAGGGGAGAGAGAGAGAGAGACAGACAGACAGACAAAGACAGACCAGCCAAACTACCTTCAACCACAAAGGGCTTGAGTTTAAAAAAAAATTAAAAACACCCCAGAGGTGGCAAGGTGACACACTATCTGTAATCCCAGCTACTCTGGAGACTCAAGACAGGAGGTTCACAATTTGGAGGCCATCCTTAATGAGACTCTGTCTCATAATACAAAGAAAAAATCATATTTAATGGTCAGAATATTACTCTCAAAAAATTTGCAAGACTATTGTTTATACTTAATATTATTTAAAAAGCTGCTACATAATACTGTACTCTCAATAAAATGGCTCAACGGGAGTGGCCATAATTTTATTTCACAAAATTTATTGACTTTAACCTGAAGTATAAATACATTTTTAGTTAAAAGATATAAAAAACCAGATACAGCATCTTTTAAATAGGGAGATATTTCTTTTAAACAGGGAGATATTTTACATCATTGGTAGTCACTGCCATTTTACACAAAGAAGAAATTAAAAGGATAAGGGAGGCCAGGGATTTAGCTCAGTGGCTTCGCCGCCTGCTGCACAAGTGCAGGGACCTGAGTTCGATCCCTGGTACCAAAAAAAAAAGGATAAGGGAAATAGCTTCTAAGCAATTTGATTTAAGGCTGTGCTGTTTGTTTAGTATACGGTAGTATCATACCTAAAGAGGGCCATTCATACTGTAAATATCACAGATTTTATGATTATGCTACTTTTTCTGGCAGATAGTAGTAAAGGTTTTTGAGAAAGTAAAGACCTTTTCTAATTGGCTAAATTGCTCAGGCTGGGATTGCACTTGCCGTTTTTCTGCCTTAGTCTCTCGGAATACTAGGATTAGAGGCATGTGCTACCACGCCCAGCTCAAAGGGTGATCTTATTTTACAAAACATGCTCCTTGCAAAGTTTTGTTATAACATTAATTTGTGTGAATAACCATGCTTCAAATGAATAATGTACTTTTTTCATTTAAAAAACTATGTATCGAGCCAGGTATGGTGTCACACCTGTAATCCCAGCACTCTGGGGAGGCGGGGGGGGGGGGGCAGGAGTTTAAGGCCCTCCTGGGCAATTTAGTGAGATGCTCTCTCAAAATAAAAAATAAAAAGTGACTGGGAGGTAATTCAAATTCAGTGCAAAGGTTCGCTCCTCAGTACCACATTTCCTCCAAAATCTAATTTTTCTTTTGTTTGTGGAGAGGGAAGAGGGTGATATAGTTCTCTGAAAATACATTAAGGGGATGTTGGCCAAAGTGTCTTCTTGGCTCATTAGTATGGCGAAGATTTCTGAAGACCCTTAACAATTATACCCTTCATGATAATACAACTCTCAGGAATCTAGGTCAACAATGAAGAAATCATCATTTACCACAAAATCAGGTACTTAGCAGTATTCAGTAAGTAATGGGTGGCATAAGCAAAATAAAAACAAGATTTGGACTGGGAATGTAGCTCAGTGGTGGAGAGCTTGCTTAGCATTCCAGAGGCCCTGTGTTCAATCCCCAGAACCTCTCTCCAAAAATAAATTTTAAGAAAAAATATAATGTGGGGGCTTGAGTGGGGGAACAGGATAAAATAAAATTTAATAAAAAAGAAAAAATACAATGAAAAGTATCTGATTATGTGATAAAGTGTACAGTCAAATTAGAGGTGTCCCTTAGAAAAAAAAATATCTGTATGCATGACTTTTTGGTCACACAACACATCATTCTCATTATTATTGTAACTTCTCTGCAATCACTCAAATTCTCTGATTTGAAAACTACTTCACATCCACTTTCCAAAATAGACTGTGGTTTAAGCTTTAGAGCAAAGCAACTCAAAATGTGGTCCATGGACTTGTGCCAGACCTGCTTGTAATGGTTGCTGCTTTTAACGGTTGCAATGAGTTAAGAATGAAAATTCAAGGCAAGCATTAAGAACCTTTACAACAATTTGACAGAGTAATTTTATGTCTACTGAATCTAATAAAAAAAAAACCTGAGCTTTTAGCTTATGTATTTTTCACCGTTTGCTTTTCCAGTGATCTTTTTATTGTATTTTACAGGTGTGAGAGGGACTGGAATTTAAAAAAATATATAAAAGTCCTTCAACACAAACAGCTTAGAGCAATTCAATGGCTGAAAAAGCAAATTCTCAGGAGACTTTCTCAAACTTTCATTACTGTTTTTGTTTCACTTTTGTTTTTTGAGACAGAATCTCACCAAGTACTTCAGGCTGGCCTTGACGTCACTATGTAGCCCGCGCTGGCCTGAAACTTGCACCTGCAATCCTCCTGCCTCATTATTAGTTTCATACATGTGAAAAATGGTAGCAAGAGATGAAAAACCTGAGAAGAAAAATGTCACTTAAAACATTCTTATTTAATTTTGACAATACATATACATGGCACTATGACATACAACAGACCTTCAGCTATATATTTTAATCAGTATAATTACAAGTTTTGAGAATATTTATTGTAGTATATCTTATGTAAGACAGAACTTCAGTCTCCAACTGATTCTCAAAACTTTTAAATTATATCTGGAATCAAGTATTATTTATACATAAATGGGAAGATTTTAGTTAACAGATTTGCCTAAGGCCAAAGAATTTCCAGAGCAGGACTTACAGCTCTGAGTCTCAAAGTCAGTTCTTTCCATAATGCAAAACAGGTTAGAATTCATTTAAAAATATATGTTCACAAAAACCAGTAATGAAATAAAACAAGTATCTTTAATAAATCCTCTGTATTCATGTATCTGTGATTTTTTAAACTAAGTGTACTTTCTTAAAATAAGCAAATCAGAAGGGGAAAAACTTTTTTTTTTTAACTAAGTTATGGTATGTCAGATTCACTGGTAGTAAAGTTATTCAACTTTACTCTGCGTTTTACAGAACTGCTTCAGAATGCTTGATTTGCTCTGATATGGTAAAGCCAGATAGCAACTGAACAAGTCAGATGTGCTAAAGCAAAGTCTAGTTAATTTAACTTATTACAAAAAACCCCAAACTTTGGGGCTGGGGATTACGCTCAATGGCACTGCATCTGCCTTGTAAGCACAAGGTCCTGAGTTTGATCCCCAGTATAATCCCCATACTGAAAACAAAAACAAAAACAAAAACTTCAACACGTGAGAATCATACCACTTTAAAATGTACATTATTAATAAAACAAACAAAAATGTACATTATTATCCCACTTGAATATAATCTATATTCCTAAATTAACCCTGACATGAAAGTATATAAAAGGTCATATATTCCATGATTTTCCTACTTTCAGTTACTCTATAAAGACACAAGTACTTTAAACACCTAAAACATACAAACCTTAAGCTTTCTTTAACAAAAATTTAATCTCTCAATACAACACTTTAAAATGATTAATATCAGATTATAAATATATAAAATCTCCCCCACCACAGTGAAATTACAGATTCTTACCCACTTAACAGCAATGTTATATATTTTTTAAAAACAGGTAAATTTATAAGACTGTAACAGGTCAACGTAATTTTTTAAAGTTAATAGACTGTCCTCATTACACAAAAGAAAATGCTCTTTCACTGTAACTTTCTGACTCACACATTAAAATGAATTTAGCATATACCAAAGTTGAACTATTTAGCATACTGCTTGCTATAACTGCACTTTTATTCCACCATGTCAATCAGATCTAAATACAACCTATAAAAGAATAAACTCTCCCCTAACAAGACAGACTATAATGTGTTATTAGATTTTTGGATATATCACACTTCTGTGGTATAAACAATCCAGTGATGGTGAACCTTTTAAAGGCACTTTCAATGATTCAATGATGCAAACAGCCGGCTGCAGCACACATGCCACAGGTTCATCACCACAAAAGGCAGATCTTGTTAAAATCTTCTGCAATTTTCATTAAAAAAAGAAATGTTGATAAATGGGGTTTTTTTCTCTTTTTTTAGTTGTAAAAAGAAATTACAGCTACTTGTGTTGGATAATATTGAGACTTATGACAACAATCACATACATAATGTAAAAATAAAAATACAGAGAAAAATAGACAACTTGGCTTTCATTTCACTTGCAATTCAAACAAGTACGGAAAAAATATCAGCTTTAAGAATCAAATATGCTTTTAGACAGACATGGTGGCAAACACTTAAAATCCCAGCAGCTGGGAGGCTGAGGCAGGAGGATCACTGTGAGTTTGAGGCCCGCCTAGGCTACACAGTGAGTTCAAGCCAGCCAGAACTTCATAGTGAAACCCTGTCTCAAAATAAAAACAATAAAGAGAATCAAATATGCTTTTTCTTAGGGGTTTTTCTCCTCTGTACTGAAATGGTGTTGTGCATATGTATAGTACTAAAATGGCAGTATTTGTGCACAAGTGTGTATCTCTTCTCCTAGCTGTGTTGGGGATCAAACCCAAGGACTTACACATGATAGGTATTACATGTGAATTACAACCCCAGTCCAGCAGGATACATTTTAAATCTACCTTCAGGATGTCATAAAGGTTCAAAAGTGAATCATTTAATCCTTTTGTCAATATTGACAATAAAACAGTGCATATGGTCAATATAAGCAGATGTGTTTTCTACTTGATAGTAACAGGAAAGTCAAATTTTAAAAAGTTAAATTACAAAAAAGAAATAGAGTACTTGCCTCCCAATATAATTAACATTGATCAAGGTTTTTTTTTCTTCCTGACTTCAAAAGCAATCAAGAAAGTGTTGGAATTAGATTATTACAAAAGACAAATTATCAGCTCAAATTAAATGCAACTTTTTCATAACAGTACACGTAAAAGTTGCAGAAAGTGCTTCCAAAAACACTGTGACTAGTAATTGTCTTCCCTCCCTGAAACCATCCAAATACAACCTCCCAAGTCCCTATTACTAGACAATCTTTTCAAGACAAGGAAGAAACTGTTGAAACTTTTAGAGGTGCTTTTCAACAAAAGCTTAAGTGCATATATGCATCCAAATGGGAATGGCAGAAGGAAAGGATAGGGAAATGTTCCATTAAAAAAATCATCTCTTAGCTAGGCGTGGTGATCCATATTTGTGATACTAGTGCATGAGTTCAAGGCCAGTCTGAAATATATAGCTGCCTCAAAAAATAAAAGAAAACAAAAATCATGTTATATAACCTTTCAATCCAAGCTTTTAAGTTATCTCCAAAGAATAAAGCAAAACAAAAAACAAGTGATATATATATATAGAGAGAGAGAGAGAGACATTTACCATTTTCTTAGAGAACATGAGTGTTTTAGTAACTTGAACATTCCACCACAAAATCATGAATCTGAAAATATACTCCCTTTATTCAATCCCAATAAACTTTACAATGTTGAACACATTCATGTTAAGTATTTGTGTTCAGAAAAATCAAATTTTCTTCTATTTTGCCAAAACCGTCATTTGAGAAAGGAGTGCTCTGACTTCACACGTCCTTTTTTTTTTTTTTGTACCGAGAATCGAAGTCGGGTCCTTGTGTTTGCGCAGCAGGCGGAGAAACCACTGAGCTAAATCCCCGGGCCACTTCACTCATTCTTGAGGTTCTGTCTAAATTTTAACTTTGCAAGGGAGAATTTTTGGGTTCCTTTCCCAGTCATCGTTATCCAAGTTCAACTGCAGTCAGGCAATTTTTGTTGCTTGGAGAGCTACTTGTGAACAGTAACGATACTTTATATTTTGGAAGTATTTGTTGAGTATATGTTTGCAATCTTTGGTTTGTATTAGCTAGATGAAAAGTACAGGCGAAAGAAAGCTACAAGGTATTTTCTTAAAACACAAGTTGCCTCCCTACCCGAGAAGCTTTTGAAGAGGATTGAAGGATTCTGACATGAACAGATTAGGCAACTGTCCCCCTGTGACCTCATTGAAACCAAATTCCACACAACGACTTACCCTGTATGACGTGCTCTGGTGAGATCGTCTTCTTTTCTGATTTGTTGCAAATCTCATTGGCTTCCGAAGATACAAGATGAATGAATTCAGTGCAGCAGTTCACCACCAGCTCTCGGGCATCGTTGGCCACCCGGACATTGGGAAGAGTCTCTTTGATCATCTTATTGATAGCAGCTCTGGGGATAGTGAGATCATCATCGTTACCAGATGAGGAAGCCATCGTACCTTCTGTTTTTCCAACCTCCGACTTTTAAAAACTCCCCGGCTCTGGTCCACTACTCGATACTTCTCAAAAGGCCGTCTCTGCGAGTGATCCCTAGAGCACTCGTAGAAAAGGGTAGAGAAAATGAGGAAGAGAGAAACGAGCTCCAGAGGGCGGAACACTTGATTCTGTGACAGATTTAGGGAGAGTTTGAGAAGAAAGTCGGGGAGGCTGAGGACTCTGGGGACACCACTGCGCAGGTTGGGGAGGGGACAGCAAGGTGGTCCGGAAATTTGAGTGGCTGGGGACCACCTTCGCGTCTTCTCAGAGAGGCGGGAGCTGTCGCCTAACCGGTCCTCAACTGCGCCGAAGCCAGAGCAGGACCCGGAGGTACAAGCCTCGCCTCGGCGCTGGGCGGACACCCAGCGGGCTCGGCTCTACACTGCTGGAGCCCCAGCTGCCGCCCCCGCCAGCAGCCGTTGCCGCCGCCTCGGCCAAACCATCCTTCAGACACCGGCGCCGCCGCCTCACAACATGTCGGCCGCTACTGCCGCTTAAACTGCGGCAGCCGCCTGGGAATGAATATGAACAGAGCCAAGCACAAGGGAAGTTTCTGTGGCGCCCGCCGTGGCCGTTTAGCCGGAATGCAGGTCGTGGAAACCAAAGCAGTGGCAACGGTGGTCCCTCCAGAAGCCGGGGGAAAAAGGTTTGCGGGAAGTTGCTCCCGACACCCTTTGCGCCACCGGAAGTCTCGCTCCCTAGGCCCCAGCCTCCTTCCGAGATCGACTTCCGGGTATGGCTGCCGCCCTTCCCCCACCCGTGGCGGCGGGAACCACCTGTACTCACTGCCAGTCATTGCCGCCAGCAGCTTCCTCTTCTAGGTGTCTCGGCACGGGCCCGGGGACTCCTGTGCCTTCCACAGGGGCTGTAACGAGGCTAGCGCGCGCTTCGCGGTACCTGAGTGTCCACAGCAATTGCCCCAGGGCTGGGCGACTGACCAGGAAAGGCTGGACGGGTAGACAGACCAGGGTGGGTCATTCTGTCCTTCGGAGCCACCGGAGGCTTCAAAACATCCGTCCACGTTTGGGGGCAAGGGAGCGCTGCATATTACTAGTATTTCGTGATTCTTTTAGAACGCTGAATTGAGATTGAAAGCGAGAGGAAAGGGCCCTGGACTCGGGAATGGAAGGTGGGAAAACAGTACTTGTGTGTGTCATCATGCTTTGGAGAAAAGCCTTTTGAAGATAATGTAGTTGACATTATTGTGATCAAAGCTCTCTATAGCCCTCCACCCATTTTCTCATTTTTGAAACTTTTAAAGAAGTGACTTCCCCAGTCACTACAAATGGCTAAGTCGGAAGCTAAAAGTCAGATCCTAAGCAGTGGAGTGCGTTGCATACAGTGTACCTATTGCAAGGTTTCAATTTAGCTATTTTTCATGGTATCTTGAAGGATGGCTTCTGAAGGGCGGAAAAAGCATGTTAGAGCATTTTTTTCTTTTTTGGCAGGGTCTTCCTTTGTAGTTCAGGCTGGCCCTGAACTCACTATGTAGACCAGGCTGGTTTAGAACTCTCGAGATCCTCCTGCCTCAGCCTCCTGAGTGCTGAGATTACAGGCGTGCAACACCACGCCTGGCTCTAGAGCATTTTAAGTAACTGGTTTTTACTTCTTTACAGAGTCACTAGTAATACCAACGAGTGCTGGGTTCTTCACAGAAATTGCATTATTTTTGAAAACCAATATTTTTCTATACTGTCATGTGGAAGAAGAGACTATGTTATAAATGGTGGGGTGTTGGAATTTCTAAAAATAAACCCTAAACCATTTAAATCCTTTTGGGCACTTTAGTTCATCAGGTTAATTGATCATGAACATTAAATGCCAACTGGCTTGATTGGAATGTTTTCTTAAAACATTTGGTTTCCAGGAGACCTTACAATTTATTGCTTTTTCTGTTTCTTTCTGAGGTGCTGAATATCAGACCCCAGGCTACAAACATACCAGACAACCACTCTACCACTGAGCAAAGCCCCCAGCTCTGGATTATTTCTTCATTTAATATTTTTTCTAGGACATTTACTTGGTTCTTTAACTTTTAAAGCTCAGACACCTGTTTTTTAATGTTACTGAGTTTAGTCAGGACCAAATTTCTTTGATAAAAATGGTGTTTTAAGTGTGGAGTGGTAGCATATACCTGTAAGCCCAGCACCAGGAAGGCTGAGGCAGGAGGATTATGACATTGGATCATGAAACCAAGCTGAACTACATTGTGAGAACCTGTCTCAGAACATATAAGCAAACAATATTTTAAAGTTTTCTTAAAAATATGAATGTGCCCAGATGTTGTGCATGGCTGTAATCCCAGCTGCTTTGGAGGATGAGGCTAGAGGCTCCCCACTTTGAGGCTAGCCTAGGCAATTTATTGAGACCCTGCCTCAAAATTTAAAAAATAAATAAAAAATACATTTTTTAAAAAGGGGGCTAGGGCTGTAACTCTGGACTAGGGATAGAGAGTAGTATGCTCAAGATCTTGGGTTCAATCTCCAACACTGCAAAAGAAAGTGAAGCTGTTGGCTCATCTATCTAGCAAAAATTGTCCCCAGAGTTGTCACATTGTCACTGACCCAAACCTTATCCCTTCTGAAAAAAAATTTTTTTTGCTTTTTGATATAATATTTCTTATTTATAGACTTCAGCAATACAAATCAGTAGAACATGCATGTTAAATTGTTATTTTACCAATAGGTTATTACTACAGGGTTCTGTGGTAGTATAAATAGCATGAAACAGTAAAAGAGACTTTGGTTCCAGTCTCAGATTTTATCCTTGTAGCCCCAGGGCCAGCACAGTAACAAGCACATGACAGGCACTCAACAAATATCACTGACTTTGAAAGTGTATGAAGACCTTTAAGGATAGTAAAGAACAAAGACAGAGGCCATGGTGATCCTTACCTGTAATCTCAGCTGCTTGGGTGGCTGAAAAAGGGTTTGTGGGTTTGAGGCCAGCCTGGGTAACAGTGAGAGTATGTCTCAAAAATAAAAAAACAAAGCAAAGAAGAAAGTATGTCAGGAAAGACTTGAAAGAACCCAAGAAACATAGTGTAAGATGAAGGAGAGCCTTGTCAGGGAGAGCCTTGCAAGAAGGTGAGATACACTGGGTATGGTTGGTGCATGCCTGTAATCCCAGCATTTAGGAGGCTAAGGTAGGACTATCACTGCAAGTTTGAGGCCAGGCTGATTCAGAGCAAGACCCTGCCTCAAAAAAAAAAAAAAAAAAAAGGATGAGATACCACAGACAGGCATTGTTGGAAGAGGATCAAAAATAGTGTTACTGAATTAAAAGGTCAAGAGGAGAGAGTGGAAAATCAACATGGAAGGAATTAAAGAAGAATGAGAAGAATTGGAACCAGGTGCCAAGGTACTCTTTTTTTTTTAAGAGAATATTATTTAAAAGTTTGGTAATAAAGGGAAAGGAATCAAAGGGAAAACAGCCTGAGGAGGAAGCAAAGTAGAGGAAGGATTATAGAGTCTAAAAGACTTGTGTAATTTAAGGGAAAGGAGCCAGTGGAGAGGGGTAGATTGAAAATACAGTAAAATAAAGTCTTAAGGAAATAGAGGATAAGATTGAAAAAGCACAGACAGAGTGGTCAGAATTAGATATAAGATCTGAGCATATTTAACGGAAAAGACAAAGCCAGGATTATAGGTGAGTGATTATAGGTAGTGATTACAAAGGGAGATGAACAGAAGACAAAGGAAATCTTTTTAGAGAATGACCATAGGGAAGGACAAAGGAGTGGTGAGAGAAATAGCAAAATAAGTTGGTAAATTCACTGTCACAGAAGTGGACCCAAAACTGACCATGTTTTAGAAAATTAGGAAGTAGCAAAAAGTGTTAAATGTACAAAGAGAAGAATAAACACTGGGAACAGTGATATTTGTACAAGCAGTTTGTGAACAAAAGCTTTAAAGCCCTTTCTTTTGTTCAGTTAAAGCTGATAAATCCCCACAGATCTACTAATAAAAACTTAAAATTTTTTTCCATGGATTTAGAAGTGAATAACAAATCCCTTTATCTATACATGATAAATTTAAAATGAGTGCAAAATGTTTTATTTCAAATGACATGAATTTTGAATCTAATTCAGTCCTATTAATTCTGTTTAAAAAGTATTTGTTGAGGCAGGAGGATCACAAGTTCAATACCAGTTTGGGAAACTTAGTAAGACCTTGTCTCAAAGTAAATAAAAAGGGCTGGGGATATAGCTAGGTGTTTTAAGTCTTGGGTTCAATCTACCAATCAGTAGTACTGGATTTATATAGGTATAAAGCATTTGCAGCAAACAGAACTAGAAAGCCTCCTTCTATAAATTCCATTTGTTCATTCGTTGCTTTCTTTCAACAAATGTTTATTGGTTGCCTGTTACACACTTAGCTAGGCATTGGAGATATGAAAGGATGGAACAGTAAACAAAAAGGGTAATGTTTATTGCCTGTTCCCTGAAGAAATAATACCAAAGAAAGAAAAAAATCACATTGGTAATATGAAAACAGTAATTAACTTTTTAAAGCAATTGAGAATTATAGTAAATCTACTTGAAGAACTATTAATAAACCATTAAAATACTTGTGAAGATTAAGTATGAATATGGTACTTTTCCTTCAGTATTAAAGCAAAACATCTTTTTTTCTTAGAACTGCATGTAAATATAAGCACAAATACTGGTTCAATAGAAATGCAAAACTTAACATCAATGTGTTGGGATAAAAAAGATTATTGGTGATTTATTTTTCCTTAATTAAATTTTATATTAATCTTTTTAAAAATGTCATATTCATTTTAAAACAACAAACAATGGAAAATATTATTTCTACTGATTTATAAATATGTCTCTTCATATTCACAATAAGACTGGTAAAAGCAAGCCTTGAATATTAATTTTTTTTTTAAGCTAGCAGAGTTCTCAAGTTGGTACTCTTCAGGTAAACTTTAACCCACAGATATTGTTACCAGTTACTTATTGCCACAAAGCTGCTGCCTAAGAAGCTACCCCAAAGGTCAGTGGATTAAAACAATAAGTTATATTATGTCTTAGGAGACTATGCATTTATTGGATAGGTCTTCTGGAATATTTTTTGACTCAACTTTGAGTTGGGTAGGTAGCTTTATTGATTTTGGCTGAACCCACATGTTTGGGGACCAGCTGGCTGTCATCAGATCTAGAAAGACCTTGGTTCT